GATAAACATTGAATTATTCAGTTGCACAAGTTACCGACAAATAAAAATGCACATTTCCTGTCACGACTTCAGATCATAAGAACTGAATACATGATAAAATATGTCCAATTTTTTACGGAATTAACTTTATTAATATGAATTGCCAACTACGTCCTGTAGTTACTATACCAAAAATAGTTGATGGTTTATCGCGCTTGCCTTTTCCGCTACGGTGTGCATTTCCATAATGCATTGAGCTATGCCTTCGACGAGATCTTTCCACTTGGCCTGCATAACTATAACCACGAGTTCAACCTCAACAGATAGCCACGTCTTCTCATTTATATGAAGTTGAACATATCGGACTGCAGTGTTCATAAAAACAAATAAATTTACGTGATGTTGCCTCGTTCTTTATTTCATTACGGAATGTATAGTATTTTTCTTCAAGTTTCTTATTGAAGAGATCCAACTCCTGGTCATTAATCGGAGGGTATATTGCAGGAAGTTCGTTTGGATTAAATCTTGGCACAGTGTCAAGAGATGTATGGTCCTGTTTCAGCACATATTGAAACACATCCTTAAATTTCCACTCTCCGTATGCTTTTTTCCCCTTGATCCGAATTTTTAGATCGAGTATGCAATCATTGGCTTAGTTCTCGACAATAATGTGTTAAATTGATATTCATTTGTGATTTCGTTATCCGATTCGTCATCGACAAGATAGAAATTTTCTGCCAGCAACTTATCAAACCTTTCTACGATGGCTTTCCGTAAAAGACTCCAGGAGCCACTTTTGTATGTGGCATTTTATATTTGATTGAAGAACGTAAAAATTTATAATTTACTACAACTGCATTTAATAGAATTTGATAAGTATTTGGTATTAAAAATGGGAAAAGATAAAAACACGAAACCTCCACTTACTATTTGCATCAGACAGTGGGTACCGAACAACAAGCGGTCTTGACGCTGTGGTGGACAGAGATGTAATGATGACGTCTGGCAAAAGCGGTGTGTTGCGATCTTCTTCGGTAAAAAATAAGAGTTTCTCCGATTCAACATTTTTGAGAACCTTAAAATTTTGGTTTAGACATGAAGAAAAATCATCTAAATCTTTGAACTCAGATAAAGAACTTTTCAACTTCACGGCTCTTAGTTCCCCTCTAGTAAGACCCACATAACTATTGTGGAACTAGGATATTCTGTTCGCTCTGTGTTATCGCCATTTTCTGCGGTAACGGATAATGTTAAAAATGAGTTAGTAGATACCCAAAATAGTAATATCTTGCGTAATTATCACATATATACTATATTTACCGCGTTAAATTTCTAACTTGAAAAAGAGAAAACAAAAACTCGGCTTTAGATTTTTTTATCTGTTAAATGTGGATGCAGTACGTGCAATTTTTGTTTTTTTTAGCATGAGAATTAAATCGTCGTTGCAATTACTACATATCGTCACGAGTGCACCCTCAGATGGAAGTTGCATCATCTACTGCTTTGGAACATAAATATACTAGGTGCACTAAACAGTTAAATACGTACCAACTTGTGACTTTTTAAAAGATCAACTTACTGTAATCGAATTAAGAGATTACAAACATAAGAAATATCAGAAAATTTCGAGAAAATATAATGTAAATACTGAATAATTCGGAATATGTATGTAATATACAACGAGAAATTTATTCTAGTCAAGTCGATAAATTATGTCGACTACAAACAATATATTTCTGTATTTTCAAAACTGAAATTTCTAAATAAGGTTTGGTTTAAAATTTTCCAATATCGTTCTGATATGTCTTAACGGTTAAGACGTAGGAACTACTATGATTACTAGGTATGAGTAGATCCTAGGTTCGAGACTGGCTGAGTGTAGATCTGCAACTTTCCTGGACGCAGGATTGTTGGTTCATCCCGGACGCGGGTTACGGATGTCCTCAGTATGAAATATCAGAACTTCTTTTTTTAATAACAATTATTATGACTTATTTAAATAATCTATTCAGTTACTATAACATCATTTTATTCGTACGTACTATATAATTTTTATCTTTAAAAGTATAAACATTGATATATTAACCCAATTATATATATAAAATAAGCCATTCAATTTTATAAACATTTACTATTCAACTTCATTTGCATTAATATAATAAGGAAATTAATATAATAAGGTAAAGGGAGGTAATTTGGCGCATTTAAGAATTGCTAATAGTAAAATTCTAAAAAAAGTTGAAGATTTACAAAGTTTATA